CCAGAGACAGAATGATCTTAAATTCGAGGGAATGAACGAGACAGTCAGTAATCTTACCCAGAGAGTCAACCTGATAGAAAGCGATGTGGTTGCTATGAGCAAGGTAGAAAAGAAAGTAAACCTGTCCTTCAGCATGGTAAGCTTTTTCTGATCTTTTGTGACATGCAGTGTGTTTTGTCTATGCATGGATGACATCCCACCACCTTTTGAGAACAGCCTTCTGGCCTATTTGAGAGGCTTAACCCATGTCTCCTTTAATCCTCACACTAGCTGTGTGACATGAATGGCCAGGCAGCGTTTGTCCTGTTTTGTAAAGGGAGATGTGGAGAGGTCCAGTTACTTACCAAGGCCTCACCAGAAGCTGTTGGCAGAGATGACAAGCCTACTGTCAGTTACCAGTGAGCCATCTGGTAGGGGAGCTCTGGCACATATTTCCAAGGGTCTTCTTCATCTTTTCTAAGTTGTTAGCGATGACAGCCGTGAAAATAATAGTAACCAAAAATCTTTTGCCATTTCTTTAAGCCTGAACGTGGCTTTCATATTTATCCTGCTGTCTATATATTAAAGGGAACCTTTTGTGTATGTCAGGAAAGTCATTTAAAACAGATCAGGTCAGACCAGCTCCCCAACTTAAGAGGTTATTGAGTTCACTTCCTCATTTTACATGTAAGGAAACTGACCTACTAAGTTGCTGATGCTGGCAGACTGTGCATGGTTTACTGGTTTTCATATTGCTGTGAATAAAATGTGCAGTTTTTGTCATCACCTTTCACATGAACATTGTGCAGGGATCCACGTGGATTCTTTTTTTAATAACTGCAGCCCCCACCCTTAAAGATTTCATACAGCAAAGACACAGGCAAATATTTAAAAATAGAAACCAAATACAAGAAATTGTGCCATAAATTCAAGTAACCACCAAAGCTAGAAGCAAGCCCACATATAAAGTCGAACTCTGGTTCATGGAATGCAGCATTTGAACTAGCTCTGCCACACTGGAGCCTTGGTGAGTTGCCTGGAAAGGTCCCTTTAAAGGGTGGAGTGGGAAGACCTGTTCCCTCTCCTGCTTTGCAGGAGTGTATAATTTACTACAAAGCTGTGAAGATTAAAGGAGCTTTATTTTACAAAGCCCTTTTGAACTCAGCTAAACTAGGTTGCCTAAGAATTTTAGATCATGGCTCTTATGCACTGAAAGTTTTCAAGGCTTATTGTGGAAACTTACCCCTTCTAAACTCTCTTTATGTCTCTGCCCTCTCCCCTGACTATATTTCTCCAGCAGAGAAAATTGGTAATAGTATCCATCTGTCCTACTGTTTCTTAGAGCAGCATCATGCTCAGCATGATTTTGGGTAAAAGTTCTACTACCTTTTATCCTTGAAAGTCTTAAAGTTTGCGACTGAAAGAGCTAGAAGCACTACTTTCCGTCTTGTCTGTCTGGCCGTTCTCCCTCTCCTCCCATCTTCTACTCTGCAATTTCTGTTGAGAGTGTTCTGAGATCCTTTCAATAAGTTTAACCAATTTGTTTAAAGTGCTAGATGTTCAAATTTTATTGTTTCCCTTTAATCTTCCCTTTGTTTGTTTGTTTTTGTTTTGCCCTTGAAGATGGATGATAGATCCGCCACTCTGAAAAGAGAGTCTTTGGATCAAGTCACCAACAGAACAGATACAGTAAAAATCCAAAGCATAAAGGTAAATAATGGGATGCTTACCCTGAAGTAAAAGTAAATGCATCAACATCTCAGTGCTTTTGATCTACTGCTGCTTTTTCAAAGGGAGTACTTTTGATCTCACGTGCTGAAACTTCAAAACAAAGCGATTAGTAAATTAGTATATTAGTGAATAAATGAATACTTTATTAGGCACCTACCCTGTACCAAGCACTTTACTAGGAGCTGGGGTGACCATAGTGAGCAAGGCAGACCTGTGACCCCCTATTCTGGTGGAGCTCAAAGTCCTATCAGTCAGAAAATGATTAACATGTAATTGAACAAGTCGTGGATCATGAGTATGATAAGTATTATAAAGGACAAATATAGAATATAATAAGATCAAGAAGGCGTCCCTAAGGAAATTACTTTTATGCTAAGACAGTAAGTTGTCTGTACTAATGATGGGGGACAGAGGCATAGATAATCTAAAAATGTTGTCTAATCTAAAAATTATTTCCTATTTTTGTAGTGCAATCTCAATGTATTCATAGTCCATTTAAACCTCAGCAAGTTCCCTTCACCTTGTACCTTCCCCTTTTTCACTCTTCCCAGACATACTATCAAGATAAGACAAGCAATCTATTATATGCTTTGATATTCCAGGAAGGAAAGTTTGATTTCGGGCTGGGTTTGGTGGCTCATGCCTATAATCCCAGCACTTTGGGAGGCCAAGGTGGGTGGATCACCTGAGGTCAGGAGTTCATGACCAGCCTGATCAATATGATGAAACTCCGTCTCTACTAAAAACACAAAAATTTTAGTAGAGATAAAATACAAATATCTCTTTAGTAGAGAGAAAATACAAAAAAAATTTAGTAGAGTAAAAATACAAAAATTGAGCCGGGCGCGGTGGCTCAAGCCTGTAATCCCAGCACTTTGGGAGGCCGAGGCGGGTGGATCACGAGGTCAAGAGATCGAGACCGTCCTGGTCAACATGGTGAAACCCCGTCTCTACTAAAACTATAAAAAATTAGCTGGGCATGGTGGCGCGTGCCTGTAATCCCAGCTACTCAGGAGGCTGAGGCAGGAGAATTGCCTGAACCCAGGAGGCGGAGGTTGCGGTGAGCCGNAAAAAAAAAAAAAAAAAAAAAAAAAAAAAAAAAAAAAAAAAAAAAAAAAAAAAAAAAAAAAAAAACAAAAATTACAGGAATGCATGGTGGCACATTCCTGTAATCCCAGCTACTCAGGAGGCTGAGACAGAAGAATCACTTGAACCCGGGAGGCAAGGTTGCAGTGAGCCAAGATTGCACCATTGCACTCCAGCCTGGGCTACAAGAGCAAAGTTCCGTCTCAAAAAAAAAAGTTTGATTACAGTATTCTCTGATTAGACTGTTAAACCCTAGGCTAAGGAAAGCCAGGAAAAGATAAGCCAGGAAGATCATGACCAAGTGACTAAATTACCATCTCAGATGCATATTATATTTGGTAAGTTGAGAGGATATGAGGTTCAGAGGAAATGAACTTGAACCACAGTAAAGGCAGCTTTTGATGTAATGCTTTCTGTCTTTATTTTTACTTCCTTAATAGCTTTATATTATCTAGATAAAGTCACAATATGGTAAGGTTTTGCATCATAAGCTAAGCTTTTGTTGAGTTTTCTAACTGCTTCTGCAGATTTTTTTTAAACTTCACCTAGAGAAGACAAAAACTTAAGAGTCAGATATAAATGTTGAGCACAAAAAACTAACAGGTGCTTACTATTAGAAAGTAGTAGCAATTTCAGTCACAGTTCACATTTTAACAATAAATATAAGAACACACTCATACACACGTATACATAAATTTCTTGGCTTTACTTTCAGGCCCTTGTGTTTTTAACTGGCTTCCCAGTGTGTCAGTTCCTGTGTCCCACCTCATCCAAACATCCTAACCAGATAAAAATTTCTCCTTACCATTAATTCTTCAAGTATTTAGTACCTAGTTTTCATTACATATGTTCATATTTTAGCTCCCTAAATGACCTAAGTGAACTACTGTACAATAACTATTACAGTAGAAATAAGATAGGGGCAAGATAAGTAAATAATGAATAAAAGAAATGTGTAATGAATTGGTGTTCTAATAAAACATAGGATCAGGACCTTTCACACTAGTCTAAGCAGTTAGAAACGAGCCTCATAGAAACCAGATGTCTCTCTGTTTATAATTAAATGTATTTGTATATGATAACGCTTGTTACTCCTGAGAATGAGGCAGGGTATGGGGTAAAAAAAACTTTTTTAAAAGATATGAGCAAGCAAGACTTTAAATTATAAATATTACAGCTCCTTCTTTATGTCTTAACAGTTTCTGCTACCAGTTGAATCATCACCGGGGGGAATAGAGGAAAGATCGGGGAAAACTTGTGGTTTGTTTTTGTTCAGTTGCTTCTTTTTGTAAGGTGGTAAGAGCATGAAATTCTGCCTAAAGTGGTCTAGTCACAAGGTGAAGCAAGATATTTCTTAAAGTTATTTAGTTAGTATGAAATAGCTCCTAGAAAACAAGATCCTACTCATTTAGGAAATGGGTGTCGCATAGGCACCTGAGCAAGGGTACATTTCCTTTACTGCTGACACATGCATTCCTTCCCCCATCAGCCAAATGTTCCCAGTGAATCAGATCATCGGTAGCATAATGTTCCCTTAATGGTCTCAAATCCAGCAAGATATTTATCAGCGCTGAGGACCAAAGACATCACCAGTATATGTTGATTCATTCTTTTATTGTCTTTATAGGGAACCTACTGAGGCTCAATATTTATCCTGCAGTAGGATATCCTTGCTTAGCACTAAGTCCAATGAGGCACTCAGTGACCTCAGTAGGCTCCCTGTATGCTAAATAGCGTCTGAAAATACAGTAGTGACTTAGATGAGGTCTTACTACCACCTTAAACCTTCTGAATCTTTGTTTTGGGCAGAAAGAAGATAGTTCAAATTCTCAGGCATCCAAGCTAAAAGAGAAACTCCAGCTGATCAGTGCTCTTACAAACAAACCTGAGAGCAACAGACCTCCAGAGACAGCTGATGAAGGTGAGAGCAGAGCCGGCTTCTTAATATTTCATGGAGGCTTGAGCAGCTTGCCTCCCACAAAGGGAACAGGGAAGGTGTTCCAGCAGTACTGATCACATCGAGTGAGTGATGCCTGAACGCACCGAGATGAAGCTGATACACTTTGCTTTCATTTAGAAAAAGCCCATTTTGTACATGATTTGTACTCTAGTCTATTAAGGGAAGAATCGGTAATGTTTAGCTGGAAATAGACTTCTCCATGCTGTCTGCATCCAATTATAGGCACAAATGTTACTCTCATAGCGTATATTAAACTAGCCCTAAAAGTTGTTTATGGGAGTCTTTTCCTTTCTGTAAGTGCACAAAATGTATTTAAAAATAAATATTCGTCGTCTTGAAAATCATTAACAAAAATAATGATGGGATCTTTGGGTTGGAAGGATTTTTGGCTTTAAGTGTGGACCTGTCTAATCAATACTAGCAGATACATTAGCCTCCACTGATTTAGACCCTGTGAGTACATAACCAAGGTACTGGACTGTGTTGGTTTTGACCCTTTCCCCACACGAGTATTTTTCTGTGTTAGAAAAGCAGTACAACCTCTCTTGAATTCTCTTTTAGGTAGGAGACAGAACTGTGGTGGGATGCCTTGTGCTAACATTGTGCTACATAATCTTATGGTTGCGCCCTTAGCACCAGCTTAGCGTGTGGCACATACCCCTAGACTGGGTTTAAAGCACATCTCCCAGGATGTCAATATCTTTAATATCCAGCCACTATGCTCTTTTCACTTGACAGCTTAAGCACTTACCATCTAAACGTGTATAATGCTAGCTTGTACTATAAGATCTAATGGGACTGCTGCTGCAGACCTTAATATAATACTGATTGGTCTTCCCTTGCCCACAAATATGTTTCAATCCAAGCCTTTAACTTCACATAGCCACTATGCTACTTAATTATCAAATGTTTCTCTTAAATTAATTGTACATGCAATTTTCCTAAAAGGTGACCTTCAATACTAATCTGGTGTTAGATTCAATAATACTAAATAAAACCTTATATATTTGTTACAGAGCAAGTAGAGAGTTTCACATCAAAGCCATCAGCATTGCCAAAATTTTCACAGTTTCTTGGAGACCCAGTTGAGAAAGCTGCCCAACTAAGACCTATCTCCCTACCAGGAATTTCTAGCATTGAAGGTAAATTTTTATACCACAGGGTAATAACGGGAATGTTCTAAGTAATAACTCTTTAGTGTTTATTTTCACTTGTAAAAAATATATATGATCTAACATGTATTGAGCATATATCAAGTGCCAGATACTTGATATGCATTATGTCATATAATCCTGATAACCATTCCATGAACATAAGTATTTATGTATTATACCCACTTTCCTGATGGGGAAACTGCCTAAGTTCACACAGCAAATAATTGGTTGAAACAGAATGCAAACCAAGATAGTCTGATGCCAAAGCTTGCAATTTTTTTTTTTTTTTGAGACACCCAGACTGGAGTGCAGTGGCGCAACCTGGGCTCTGGGCTTACTGCAACCTCCACCTCCCAAGTAGCTGGGACTACAGTTGCGTGCCACCATGCTTGGCTAATTTTTTTGTATCTTTAGTAAAGATGGAATTTCACCATGTTGGCCAGGCTGCTCTCGAACTCCTGACTGCAAGTGATCCACCTGCCTTGGCCTCCCAAAGTGCTGGGATTACAGGCATGAACCACCTCGCCTGGCCAAAGCTTGTACTTTTAACCAGCGTACTATATTGTCTTTCTAGTAATGTTTTTTAGGGTCTTCATTCGTTGAGTGCCTCATTAGACTTAGTGCTAAGCAGTAAGAATACAGTATAAGATATGGCCTCGTTTTCTTTCTTCAAGGATGTTATAATCTAATGGAGAAGGCATAAAAGCAAATACAATACCATGAGATTAGTAAAATAAAGTAAAAGTTGACCCTATTTGTCAGGGCTTTCCAAAAATGGGGGGCCCTTTTACTGAAAATCAGCAAAATATTAGTAGAAAGGATATGATTCTCAGAAAAATGTGTTCGCATTGCTTCCAACAGTGTGTGTTCTATCCCTCATGGTGATGTATAGTGCCTCCTGATTTTGCATTATCTGGCTGCCTGGCAAATCACTTGCTCCTGTTCACCCCACCTTCCTCTGGCTCTTCTCTTTAGCCTAGATACCACTCCACCAGGAAACATTTCCTTACCTCCCTTGACTGGATTAGGCTCCTCCTGTGTGCTCTTAAATTTTGTTTGCCCCTGTTTAGCACATGTCACCCTGTTGTAATTTCCTGGGGTGATACAAAATATAACTTCCCATGGATAAGGACTATGTCTTATTTACTCCTAGCCCCTAGCACAGTACCTGTTACTCCTGAATATTTGTTAAATAATTGAATGAGTTACCTACACATTGCAATTAAATGCTTAAAGCATAGAAGATTTAAATTTTTGTATCACCATTTAAATGTGATTACGTTTCTTCCCTGTTCCTGACTTTTTTTTTCTGTTTTCTGGGGAGAAGGGAAAGTGTTAAGTTGTGTGTAATGGGAAGACAAGCTTCCTGCCACTCTCCATTGTTACATCAAGATTTGATGTGAATGAATTGGGGAAAGCTATTAGGTAAGATTAAGGAATAGCAGTCTTAACATTCATGCTTCAATCCTGAGCATAGGCCTTAGATACTTTTGAATGACTACATTTTTGGAATGACCTGAAGCAGCAATCATATTTTTATTTGAATACTGCTACCAAGTGAGTAGTGTAGCATGTTGTATAAACTCATGCCACAAAAAAAAGAAAAAAAGAAAAAACAGGATTCTTTTTGCAGCAGGACTGTTCATAAATAAAAATAAATAAATTAAAATTAAAATTAAAAAAAAAAACAGGATTCTTCAGCTAGCCACTTGGTGGAAGGCACTGGGAACAGGTGTCCCACTGCTTTCCTGCCTTTCAGAGAGCTTTTGACATTTTATTAGCTGCATTGCTGCACCTATTGTAGGAGTGAGAGTAGGGCCCTATTCAGAAACTTGTTTACAAGAACTCCTTGATGGACTGGACCTTGCACTGCAACTGTTTTCCTTCCCTTCAGGTTCTTTTTATTCTTCCTGAATACCAAACAGCAAGAGGCCTATTGAACCTAGGCATAGTGTAGAATAAATGATGAAATTAAAGGAATTGGGGGATATTTTTAAAGAAATGTCAAGCTCATTGGCCTTCTTTGGTATTAGAGTATAAATCTTCTATTTGATTATGGGGACACAAGTCTTTTTTAAATGTTACATATATACGGCCAGGTGCAGTGGCTAACCCCTGCAATCCCTGCATTTTGGGAGGCCAAGGCGGGCAGATCACTTGAGCTCAGGAGTTCGAGACCTGCCTGGGCAGCACAATGAAATCCCATCTCCACAAAAAATACAAAAATTAGCCAGGCATGGTAGCACATACCCTGTAATCCCAGCTACTGGGGAGGATCGCCTGAGCCTGGGAGTTTGAGGCTACAGTGAGCTGTGATCATGACACTGCAGTCTAGCCTGGGTGACAGAGAGACTCTGTCTCAAAAAAAAAAAAAAGCTATGTATGTAACTGACCCGCCTATGTGTTTGTGAAAAAACTTTGAGAAAATACCCGAAGAAACTATTGATAGACATTCCTAATCATTTGGCTCAATAGTGCCATTGAAATAAAAAGGAAGATACAGATCAATTGGTAATATTGCTCTTTTTCTTGTTTACTGATTTTTAAAAATTAGAGAGTATGCACTTTGGAGAGATATATAGTCCTCTGATTCTTCCTTTTTATTGAAATACAATTCACATACCATAACATTCACCTTTTTAAAATGCATTTAATTCCGTGTTTTTTAGTACATTCATAAGGTTGTGCAACCATTACCGCTGTCTAATTCCAGAACATTTTCATCACCCCAAACGGAATCTCTGTACCCATTAAACAGTCACCCCTAGTCCCCTCTCCTGCCAGTCTCCAGCAACCACCAGTCTCTTAGCCACTCTCTCTGTGGATTTGCCTATTTGGGGTGTTTCATATAAATGGAATCATATAGAATGTGACCTTTTGTATGCTTTTTTTCTTTCAATATGATTCTTTCACTTAGCATAATGTTTTTATGGTCTATTCATGTTGAAGCATGTACCAGTACTTCATTCCTTTTTATGACTGAATAACATTCCATTCTGTTAACATAACACATTTTGGTCTGTTCAGCAGTTGATGGACATTTCGATTGTTTTCACTTTTGGGCTATTAAGAATAATGCTGCCATGAACATTCAAGTGACAGATTTTATGTAAACATGTTTTCATGTCCCTTGAATATATACCTAGCAATGGAATTAATGGGTCATATGGTAGCCCTAACTTTTTGAGGAACTCCTAAACTCTTCCAGAGTGGTTGTGCCATTTTACATTCCCATCAGCAATGTATGAGGGTTTGATCCACTTTCTCCACATCCTCCCTAACCCTTGTTAAGGCCTGTCTTTTATTATAGCCATCCTAATGGTTATGACAAGGTATCTCATTGCACTTTTGAGTCACTGGTTCTTGAGCTGCTTAATTTCTGGATCCAGAGAGACATATTAGAAAGAGCATTGGACTAGGTAATAAGAAATTTATATTCTAGGCCAGGTGTGGTAGCCTAGCACTTTGGGAGACTGAGGTGGGCAGATCATTTGAGGCCAGGAGTTCGAGACCTGGCCAACATGGTGAAACCCTCTCTCTACTAAAAATACAAAAATTAGCCAGGCATGGTTGCACACATCTGTAATCCCAGCTACGAAGGAGGCTGAGGCAGGAGAATCCCTTGAACCCAGGAGGCACAGGTTGCAGTGAGCGAAGATCACACCACTTCACTCCAACCTGGGCAACACAGTGAGACTCCACCTCAAAAAAAAAAAAAAAAGGCCAGGCACAGTGGCTCGTACCTATAAAGCCAGCACTTCAGGAGGCCAAGGCCGGTGAATCGCCTGAGGTCAGGAGTTCTAGACCAGCCTGGACAACATGGTGGAACTCTGCCTTTACTAAATACACAAAAAAATTAGCAGGGCATGGCGGCAGGTGCCTGTAATCCCAGCTACTCGGGAAGCTGAAGCACAAGAATTGCTTGAACCCAGGAGGTGGAGGTTGAACCCAGGAGCCGAGATTGGGCCACTGCACTCCAGCCTGGGAGACAGAAAAAGACTTTAGCTTTAAAAAAAAAAGAAAAGAAAAGAAATTTGTACTCTCTTCCACTTAAGAGTTTACATGACTGTAGGCAAGTTACTTTCCTCTTTGAGCTTTGGATTTCCTGTCAAAACTGAGAAAGCTGTGAGTGTTTGGGACTGTTTCAAGGGCTTCCAATCATTTCTTCAGTCTCCACTCAGCCATCCAACAAGAAATCTCACAATATGCCACAGTCTGTTTTATAGGCTAGCTCCTGTCACATAACTTATTAGGCCTCTGCATTTCTTTTCACCTCTTCAACATAAGAATAAAATCAGGAAAATCTAAAGGGCAGGCCCTGGACAGAGAGAAGATGAAATCATTCATTTCTCCTGCAATATCTGTCACTGCTTCTACTTTGTGTTATGACAGTGTCTCCCTGTGTTGCCCCGACTGTTCTCAAATTTCTAGCCTCAAGCAATCCTCCTGTCAGCCTCCCAAAATTCCTAGCCTCAAGCAATCCTCCTGCCTCAGCCTCCCAGACTGTTGGGATTTCAGGCATAAGCCACTACATCGGCCTTTTTTTTTTTTTTTTTTTTTTTTTTTTCTTAAGGGATCAAAAATTAGTCTTTCTGATTTAGTGAAATCCTAAACTTTACCATTTGGAAACAAAATTTGCAGAGTAGCTTTTCTTTTAGTGTTTTAAATTCAGTTGAGACTACTTTTAATTAAATTTAGCTGTATGTTTAGGCATATACATTTTTTTATCATTCATTTTTGACAGATCTTCAGGATTTATTCCACAAGACTGGCCAGGACGTGGATGGGAAGCTGACCTACCAGGAAATCTGGACCTCCCTAGGCTCTTCTGCTGTGCCAGAACCAGAGAGCTTGAGAGCATTTGATTCCGATGGAGATGGAAGATACTCATTCCTGGAACTAAGGGTAGCTTTAGGTATCTAGCCTCATCAGGCATATTTTAGGAATAGAATGCCTAATATCCACTTACCTAACAACAAAACAGCTGTTACCCATCAGTCCTCTAGTCCTCCAAACTACTGTAGCAGATACTTTGCCACCTTTTAACTTGTTTGAAGAAAATATATAAAAGTTATTTTTTTAAAAAAGACCATTTTACTTATAATATGATGTTCAGAAATCTATGATTTCCTAAAACCAGTAATATCTTACATTTTAAAATTGCCAGAAAAAAAAAAATTAAAGCTCTCTTTTTTTCTCTTTCCTTTTTTTGAGGGGAGGAGACTATCTTTTAAAGCTGGGAAATGTATATAGAGAGAGAATAAGCCACCTTTTATATTTCACTTAAATTTGCCTTAAATTAGCCGCACTTTATAGAGACTCAGAAAATGTCTTTTCTTTAAAAGATAGGCCTTTTCTGTTTGTAAATATTTAAATGAAAGAAAGCATTGTGCATATTGTATGAAAAGTAGGAAGAATGGTTTAGAACAGGATGTGAACAAATGACTTATTTAAAATTGCTGATCTGGTGTGGGTGGCAGCTGAAACTGCATCCATGTGTCCATAAGGCATCCCTCAAAGGCCTAGGTGCTGCCAGGGGGTTTGGCCTGGTAGCTGGGGGAACCAATTTCAGGGAGTAGACACTAGAGGTAGTGCTGACTCCAGGCATGGCTCATGGAAGTAGGATTCTGGTTCTTTGTTCCTATTCCCTCAGCTAATCCCAATTTGGGAATCAGAGAAGTCTTGCTGGGGTTTTTTCTCATTTTTAATACTATTTCAGGGTTTATGAGCATAAAAAGTTATCCATTGGGAAGCTCCATTTTCCCTGCTAAGTGAGCTAGATTGCCTTCCCCCACCCACCCACTTGAGTCTATCTTAAAGCCATAGCTGGCTTTAAGGCAGCTTTACCACCAGTACCATCTCCATTTTGAATGGCAGGGCTAAATTCCCCTAGCCGCTGCCTCACGCTGACCACCCAGAGCTTTAGAAGAGAGCCGTGCATCTAATTTTGACCCAGAAAATTATACCCCTTGAGATTTTACCTAGAGGCTAACCAAGGGCCTGATATGTTTCTCTGGGGGATGACTAAGGCTAAAAAGGTTGTGAGACGAAACATGTGAAATAATATTCAGTTTCCTTACAATTCTCAGCTCAAAAGTAGCTAGAGGCTTTCTATCCAAAGAGAGCTGGGCCTTCACATGGTGGTAGCAAGTTTTTCAAATCTAATACGAGCAAGCCTAATACTTCCTTTAAATGCTTCTGTGGACCTGGCGTGAAAAGTCCCTAGACTGAAAGGAGTAATACCTTTATGTCAGCTGTAGGTTGAGTCTAGAATTGCTGTGTTGTTCTTAGAAGCAGTCTTTGGTCAACAATTTGAAAGGAAAAAAACTACAAAACAACTTTGCTATAGGCCAAGTCAGGGAGAAAGTGGAGAAGCTTTCATGGCACAGATTTCTTTAGTGGAGATCATTTCCTTTTTAACTTTGTTCAGGTTGCCCTTCGGCTGTGGATATAGTCCAGTGCCCTTAAACATTTAAGGGCTGTTTTTTTTCTTTACATGATGTTCAGCTTGGTGTTGACTAACCTGAAATTTTTTTTTCTAGAAGTATTAAAATTTAGTTAAAGCAAGATAAAATCTTTTCCCATGAATGTGTCCACTTATCTCATTATAGTTTAGGCTCCATCTCACTTTCCTGGAAAGGTTAAAACATAAATTAGCCTGGCACTTTAGGTAACTTGAAAATAATTCTCACTCTTCTGGCTGCCTTCCATCCACTCTCACCCCACACCCTTTTTTAATGTATATACACCCTTACAGGTTTTGTAACAACCAAATAAAATTCTAGCAATAAATTGAATTATACTGCTATATTTGTATATACTGTACCATAGATAGTATGTCTGTACCTGGAAGGTATTTTTTTGAGAACTGATTTATATGAAATATACTTGAGGGTAATGTAGCTTGTCCTTTTTAGTTTCAAATTCTTATTCATTGGCAGATACTTTGAAGACATCTTAACTCTTTGTTGTGTGTACTTTTCCCTTGCATCAGATAGCTATACGTGGAGGAGTCCAATTTGTTTTTTAGTTTATCTTCTGTTCTTCCTACCTTGCACTTGTCTGACTAGTATCATCCCTGAGCTGGTGTGTCGTGCCATCCTCTCCCCCTACCAAGTTTGGCAGAGGTGTTTATGCTGCACTCTCAGATCTATGAATATCCTTGTCATCCTGCCTGAGAAAGTACCATATCTTCCAGGCAAGAGGAGGGTATCTTGAACTCCTTTCTTCTGAGTTGAGCAGACTCATGAGGTTAAGAGTCCCATAAGCCTATTATTTAGTGTGAATTTGGGACTTTTATTTGTATGCTGTCTTAACTTACCGAGCCTGTGACTCGTATTCAGCTGTAGTCAAGCCTCACCAGCCATATCTCATCTCTGAGAGGAAGATTGGACAGCGGTAGTGAGTTTGGTTTTGGTTTTGGTTTTAAATCCTTTTACCTTTTCAGTCTGGCAGCTCCTACTGCTGCTTTCCTAAGTTATGAAAGCACTGCTTCTTGGTCCTTGTTTTGTTTTTTGTTTTTGTTGTTTTGCCTTGCACCATCTTGTATAATGTTTACTAAAAAAGCCTCCCTATAAATCAGAGAGGCAAAAAGGTAGCATAGAAAAAGAAAAACGAGAAGAAGAGAATACCTGACTTCAAGATGTCTGTGGTGTCATCTAAAAGGCGGAGAGGTACCTGGCCCTCAGGAATGTATCTGATGCAACAGAGCTGAAGAGTGGATTCCCTTCACCTACTGCTGGCCATTTTCCCTTCCGTTAAAGATTCCTTTTTTATGGTTCCTGTTCATAACCCCTTCAACACCCCCCCCCCCTTGCTTGTCCTGCCGGTCACAGTTGAGGATTTTGGCTGTGATGGGCCCACACTCATAATGGCCTGTTGAGTTGTTTTTAGTGACAGGTTTTGTTTGCTGCACACCTCATTGGCTTGCTTACCAACACCAGCTAGATGTGGTCCCTCTTTCATATCCAAACCAGAACACATTTGGGTATTCCTGAGACTTTATAGAGCGTGTATTGTTTGTTATACGAACCTAACCTACCTTGTTGTTTTCTCATATTAAGAAATTTAAATCTTTCTTTTAGTGGAGCTATTTTGGTAATGTATAAGCAGTTTTGGTTCTGTTTAGGGAGAATTCAGGATTTTCATGACTTGATTTGAGCTTTGCATATTTCATATAAGTAACACAGCCATTTTAATTTAGCTAAATAAAAAAATTTCTTTTTCTCTCAATGTGTCTGACTAAAGCCTCTTTCATTCCCCTATGATTTCTAAGGGGGAAAAAAATCTGCTTTGCTTTCTATTTTTATGGATGCCTTACTCCTTTTGAAAGCAAGGAGTAACACATAGTGGGCCCAAAGTAATTAAGAATCTGCCTTAAGGACTGCAGTATTTGGCCTGAAGAAAGAAAGCCTCAAGGTTCAGGCTTTATGCATGCAGAGGATGGGAGGGGCGAGGTGAGGCAGGAATGAGCCCTGCCCCTCTGTTTACCCAAGATGTTCCACTTAGGTCTGTTTTATATTTTGAGATTCTATTTAAAGCATGTTTGCCATAAAGGTTCTACTACCTTAAAAAAAAAAAAAAAAGCTTAAACTCCTTTGCTAGAAAGGGGTCATATAGGAGCTAAAGCTTTTTCACACACAGAAAAAAGATAACTATATATACATGTTTGCTAGATTCTGGATATCTCCTCCCCTTCCCCTAACACAGAATCTGGTGACCTTCCCCCTCAGTCATTATGTAAATGGCTATACAACCGTTTCCAGAAGTACAACAATTAGTATTCCCACGTGGTGGATCTTAACTTTTGGGAGGGAGACATGGATTCTTGAAGGAAAGGTAAAAACTATGGATATGTGTCTATGTATAATTTTAGGCAGTTCACTGACCAGCCCGTCCTCCAAGCCAATTCGTGGACCAACTTAATGACACCCTACATACAATCCAAAGCATTCACCAAGTGTTTTCTAACACAACATATCATTAGGGCAGAGGCACTATGGTGTATGGTGGAAAGATCAGTACCTTTGGTGCCAGGCAACTGATGATACCAGTAGATTTGATGTGAGGCAGATATAGATTTGGGAACTGCCTCTGCAACTAAGAAAGGCATGGCATATACCTTGGAACCTGTCTCTTCATCTGTAAGAGGAGGATCATGATATCCATTTGGCAGTGTTCTTGTGAATTATTAGAAATAATGTACAGAGGCAACCACGTGAGAGCTCCATACATCATAGATAATAAAGAATACAATTCAGCCCATAGTGCAGTGTGGCTCGCGGGGCTCATGGTGACTTGTTTTGCCTGTGACATAGCCACTATAAATCACCATACTCATGTGCCATCAGAAGTTATCACTCTTGTGGCAGCTGTGCTTCACATCCCACAGAACAGCAGGGCCTTGGGGTACCTAGGCCAAGGCACTTTGTTTTAAATACTGAACAGAGAGATATTGAGTCCATTCACAAGTACTGATTGAGTATGTCTCCCGACAGCCAACCTCCAATGCCAATTCATATTGGTGAGACTCAGCCATCAACTTGGTTTGCAAAGTGACCCCATCACACAGGAAGGACATTGTCCTAACAGCAGATGAAACCAGAGGGAGCCTTGGAGTTTTTGTTTTTGTTTTTTTAATCTTTCATAGCATGACATTCAGATGGGTCCTGACCTCTGTCAATACTGCCTCCCTGAGCTTAGTTCCATTTCCTACTCTGCATTTGATATCTGCAGCTCTCACCTTCAGTGAAAGGAGGCTACAATTCTGAAGCAAAAGGCCTGGCATTGAAGCTGAGGTCTTCATGAGCCAGATTAGGGAGGGAATGGAAGCGAACATTCCTTTCAGAACAGGTGGCCGAAGGATAGGAGACAGAGTAGTTCACCATGGGGGGTAGGTTGCACAGGGGTGGGGCAAAGGGCACCTCCTGAAAGATGGGAAGTGGGAATGGGGAGCTGGCCTGGGGCTGCTGTGGAGCCAGCTGCAGCACAGGTTGCAAGGGAGTGGGGGCTTCCACCTTGGAGTTGCTGTCTTGGTCAGCATAGCTCCTGCCTTCAGGGATGTCCAATTCCCACAGAGCATCTGGATTCTGGACCTCAGTATCAGTCTTGGTGACAGCACGGGGAGGGCCCGTATTGATGGCTGCATTCATGCCATAGCGCCGTCGCTTGTTAATCCAGTACAACAATGGGCTATAGGTGAATGTGGCAGCTCTCATCACCTTCACCCACTGCTGGGCATGCTCTTTCCGCCTCAAGTTCTTCCTCCAGTGCAGAAAAACAATGCAGCCTCCAGTTATCACCGAACACAGCCCCAGGAATCCAAAGTACAATGAGACCCACACTAAGACAGCAAGAAAGAAAAGGAGTCAGGCTGGCTGATAGCAGTAGCTTGGGGTCTGAGCTGTTTCTCCTTCCTCTTTCACTTAACCCATTCATCAATCACTTCATCCACTTGACTACGCTAACCATTCCTTCTCTCCCTCATTGACTTGCCTCATCATTCTCTTATTCAGTCAAAGCTAGATTTCCAGGGAGCTTAAGCACCACCTTTAACTCTTTACAGATCAGAAAAGCTAGGTCTTAGAGGGGGCATGAGCTGACCAGGCTCAGTCAAGCCTCTGGTTCCTAATGCAGCACCCATCCAATCCATCAGACTGAGAAGTTTCACTATGGGCAAGTCCATCAAGAAGTAAAAGTTCACCAGCACTTTGGAAGGCCCAGGTGGGCAGATCACCTGAGATCAGGAGTTCAAGACCAGCCTGGCCAACATGGTGAAATCCTGTCTTTACTAAAAATATAAAAATTAGCCAGGTGTGGTGGTACATGCCTGTAGTCCCAGCTACCTGGGAGACTGAGGCAGGAGAATCACTTGAATCCGGTTGCAATGAGCTTAGATCACACTACTGTACCACAGCCTGGGCGAGAGAGTGAAACTATGTTTAAAAAAAAAGTAAAAGTTCACCAGCTGACAGAGATACCAATGTCCCATTCCATTCCGTTCAGTTGTGATGGTCCTGGGCTATTGATAATACCGTCTCTCTAGATCTGGTTCATCAGATCTAGAGTAGACTATCTCCTAACTGCTTAGCTCTCCTCTATAAATCCAGGCACCATTCCATCCATGCAAAGGGCCTTCCCTAAGTGTTTGTACCCAAGCCCTAGGGCACAAGTGCAGTGACAGGGACTGGAGGAGCACTTACTGCCAGGGAAGCGCAGGTCCTCCTGTTGGAAATCCATACAGTTGAGCTTTGGTGCCTGGCTGGTGGCTCTGGGGAGAGGGAGCTCACCCACCCATCTGCCCAGCCAATCAGAGTCTCCAGAACTCCCAGGCCCTTTATCCTCTAAAGGAAAGGTCACTGGGTTCTGAACATTGGGCATTCTAGGGGCAGTGCTTGTGAAGTGGTCCTGAGTTAATGGAAGGAGGGGACTTCATCCAGTGGAATTTTTGGGGGTGGAGTGTCTGTTACTTCTATCAGAGACTGAATTGTCTGACCCTACCCCTTATGGTGAACCCACAGAGCAGACCCCAGGAAAGGGTCATTATCCCTCAGGGACTTACTGATGTTACTGGTCTTTAGGGAACAGTTGATGGGATACCTGTCCCCAGTGAGGAATTTAACAGGGAACACACAGCATTGGGCAGCCCTGCCCTCAAAAAGTCTCTAACCAAGTTGGCAGGAGAAAACCTGCACAAGGGAACCAAGCGGTCAATACCTCCTTCCTGAGCTCCAACAATCTCTCTTTTATTTAGTTACCTTCCTTCAAGTGCTAACAAGTGTGTCCCAAGCACCAGACCCTGTGGGGCTCCCCACCATCTGGCCTGCATCTCCTTCTAGCCTTACTTCCCTCCCCATCCTCCACACACCTTTCCCTTCTGCCCAGTACAGTGTCCTGAACAGACCCTGCTCATTCACATCTGGAGATATGCTCATGCTGCTCCTTCACCCAGGAATGCCCCTGCCCACTTTTCCACCACTGAACACCTGTTCATTTTTCAAGACTCAGCTCAAGCCCCCTACTCTGTGACAAACTGCCCAGAATCACATCATCTCCAGTTTGAAGGAAATTGAGAGTTGTCTAGTTCAACTCCCACCATCTGGTCACACCATCAGGACCATGCTAGAGTCCTGGGGGTAGAACTTTCCCTACACAGCAACTAATCCCCCTGGACTGAGCAAGTTCCTGACTCAAGTGAGGGTCTCCTGAGATAGCTTGGTACATTTATGGACAGCTCAGTTAGAAAACTCTTTCTTAATTAACCTTAAGTCAGCCTTTCCAGTAGGTTGCACCACTGCTCCTAGCTCAGCTTCTTGGCACCATTTTAATGACTCCCTTCTTTATCGTCCTCCAGTGTGTGACTTAGGGAACTATTTAGCACAGAATTCTCTTCAGGGTCCGCTTACCCTTGCTCTCCTCCTATATCACCAGCCCCTACTTTTCAGACTCCTTTGTCGGTTTCTCCCTTTTCCCCTGATCTCTAAATGTAGGCATGTCGTAGGGCTCAGTTCTTAGTGCTCTATCTACGTTCATTCCCTTGATTGTCTCATCCAGACTCCTGGCTTTAAATATCACTAGACACTGACAGTGTGCAACTGTATCTCTCTATCCTGGAATGTTCCTCAGAACTTTAGATTCATACCCAAATACCTGGTTAACATCCCTCCTTGCCAGTCTGCTAAATTATCCCCAACTGGCATGTCCAAAACCAGACTCTGATCATCCATCCTCCAAAGTCTACTGTACCTACAGCCTTCCTCCTCTTCATAGGGAACATTTCTGTCCTTCGAGTTGTTCAAGCCAAAAACTTGCAAGTCATCCTTGACTCCTTTCATTCTATCACACCCACACTGACTCCATCAGCAAAATCTTTAGGCTTTTATTTCAAAATAAAACCAAAATCTGGCCACTTTTTTTTTTTTTTTATCACTATCACTTTAGTCCAAGTACCACCATTTTTCACTTGGATTACTGTTCTTCCTGTAGGGTGACCAACATCCTGGTTTGCCCAGGACTGAGGGGGTTCTTAGGACATGGGGCTTCCAATGCTAGAACCAAGAAAGTCCTAGGCAAGCTAGGACAAATTAGTCACCCTTGGGAGAGCTTCCATCCTTGCCTCCACATACCCTAAATTCCACCAGTAGCCAACATGATCCTTTTAAAAAGTAGATCATGTTACTCCTCTGCTTAAAACATACAGTGACTTCCGATCTCACTTAGCTTCAAAATCATAGTCCTTAACCAAGGCCTGAGCAATCTAACTCACCCTCCCTATACCTCCTTGGTCTCATTTCTACTGCTGTGCCCTCACTCATTCAGACTCAATAACCTCCTCCTCAGGGCCTTTACACTTGCTGTTCCCCCTACCTGGAAGGCTCTTCCCCCCAGCATTCCCTCATTATCTTCAGATCTCTGCTCAAATGTCCCCTTATCTCTATCTCTCTTACCCTGCTGTTTTTCTGCATAGCATGTAGCATCACCTAATGTTATATATTTATTTGTTGTCTGTTTCTCTCCATTAGAATGTAAGCTCAATGAATTAATATAAACAAGGATCTAAGAACTTCAGATTATGACCAGAGAATGAAATAGAGCAATGGGATAGACTCTAAAGAGGCAGTGGGGGGGTCGTCATTTAGGTCCCTTTGAGGTGCTGACATGTGAACTGAGCCCTTAGATCATGAGGAGGCAGTCACGTGCAGATCCACAGAGAAAACAGCAAGTGTGAGGCGCGTGAGCCAGGGATGGGCTGGCATACTTGAAGGACTTGTTAATCTTCCATTACACTCTTCTTCACACAGGGCAGGGCCCAGGGCTGATCTCTATGAGCATACGTTGGATTGAGCAGAGCTGAAGGCTCTGCCTCTGCCCCAGGAGGGGTTTCAATCAGACAAGAAGGACCTAATGATGAGTACTGTCCCAAAGCCCACTCCAGGACTGGCCCTGTTCTGTGAGCAGGTGGGACACAGAAATGTTGATGTTACTGTCTCTAACCCAAGAAGCTCACACCTGGTTCAGAGGGTAAGGAAGATTGTGGCATTTGGGTTGAGAGAATGGAAGGAGAGAGCATTCTGGGGGTCAAAAAGGGCCTGAATAAGGACTCTTCAAGGAGTAATCCTGGTGTTTCTTTGGAAGAGAATAGATCAGTTTGGCTGGAGTTCAAGGTGGATGTCAGGAAGCAGAAGAAAAGGAGGCTTGGGAGGCAGCTGCCATCTTGAAAAGAGCTCAGCTCTCGGGTAGAACTTGAACAAGTCACATAATGACTCCCGGCCTCAGTTTCCTCATCTGTTAGATGAGGATAATACCTGCCATACAGAGTATGAAGCCAATCAGTGTCCTGCACATAGCAACCTCAGTAAAGAGAAGCTTGCTGCTGTGATGACAGTTGATGAAAGGACCTTCGATGCTTAAGGACGGACTACTACAGCGAATGCCAGGTACATTTAAAACGGAACAAGCACCGCAAGGACCTGGAGATCTGCTGGCTTTAGAGAGCGGACTTGGCGCGCAGAGGCTGCTGGTCCCAGAGGGAGGAAGGGCGTAAATTTGGGCAGCCTCCCAGGAGGAGGCGGGCCGTGGCAGACACGGAACGGCGAGAGCGCGCGGTGCCGGGGCCAGAGCGGCGCGCCCCCTCCTCTGCGCCGCGCCCGGAACCTTGGGCGCGCGGAACCTCGGTGCCCGAGCGCGGGAGCGGCGCACTCGGAGAGGGATGGAGCGGACGCGCGGGCCGCGGGCAGAGGCTGACGCGCCTGAGGAGGAGGAGGCGGGGGCTGCAATGGCTGCTGTGGTGGTGGCGGCTGCGGGTGGCGCGGGACCTGCAGTCCTGCAGGTGGCTGGCCTCTACCGGGGCTTGTGCGCGGTGCGCAGCCGCGCCCTGGGCCTGGGGCTCGTGTCACCCGCGCAGCTGCGCGTGTTTTCAGTGCGCCGCAGCTCCGGCCCGCCCGAGGGGGGCGCCGACGGCAGCGGAGTAGGGGCTGAGGCCGAGCTCCAGGCCAACCCCTTCTACGACCGCTACCGCGACAAGATCCAGCAGCTGCGCAGGTGCGGGCCCCCGCTGTCTGGCGGCGGGCAAGGAGGCGGGAGGAGGGGCGGTCCGGGCTGCTGATCCTTATGACAGCCTTGTGAGGTGGGCACTAGTACCGTCTCGGCTCTTCAGATAATGTAGCCAGGCTCCGCGAGGGTAGGTCACTTGGCCACGATCACACAGTTGGTTGGCGTCAGAGCTGGGAGTCTCTGCAAAGCCCTGGCGCGTTCCACGTTTGTCTGTGCTCTGATTCTTCAAACGCTAAAGTGGACTCTTAGGACAGTCGTGAGGCAGGCAGCTCAGAAAGACCTGTCCTCATTATAGAAATGGGAAAACGACTTCTAGAGAAGCGACTTGACTTGCTCAAGGTTACATATTGAGACAGCTGAGGCCTGGCCCAAAGCTGGAGCTATCGGGCTGGTGGTAGCTTGGGCCCTTGACTGCAAGGAAAGGCAATTGGGGATGCGAGGAAGGCATCAAAGGCTAATAGTGTCACAGTCGGATCACCCATTGAATCCTCTCAATAAGATAAGGAGACTGAGGACCAGTGAGAGAAAGAGACGTGCCAAAGGTCACACAGCTGTTTGGGGTTTGTCTGACTGAGTCCAGGGTTCCTAAAACCACCCCTTAGCTTCCACAGGGAAGGATCTGGAGCTTAGAGGGGCTTGATGTGCATGTGAGGGACTATAGGAGGGTCAAGAGTTCAAGTGGGAAGAGCTAAGGGAGATAGATCAGAGGTGAAAATTAAAGGGGCTTGGGAGAGAATTTAGCAGGGCAAGAAGGTAGTTGTTGTATTAAAGGAAACCAAAGATTTAGTACTGTAAATTCTTTGAGTTCTGTCTCATCTCTACTTCCACAGCCTTAATTTACTCCATCATCTTCACCTGGGCTGTTACTGTTATGCTCTAGTGTTCCCTGCTTCCATTCTTGGACCCCTTTACTCCAGTTCATCTCACTGCTACTATAGTGATCTTTCTCACCTTTTGAAACAGTGATGCAGTAAATGAATGAGTATGTTTGCTCTCCTTCCAAAAGCATTGAGATATTCTCAAGTATTTGTCATCTTAGAAGCGTTTCCTTGACATACATTCCCCTCCAGGCTTCTCTCATTGATCTGTATTTGATCTCTTTTGCACACAAGCATCTCTGAAGAGTTGTCTACTCATACTTTGAATATTTTATCAGAATCCATGCATTCTTACCCACTCGTGAACAAATGAATGACTGCTTTTGCTCTCCTTCCCTACTGGATCATTCCCATCAACATTTACACACACTGTTATCCCCCCCCACTGACCTCTAAATAACATCCAAACTCCTTAATGTTCTGCACAAGTTCCTCACACCCTAGCCCCTGCCAGTCTCTCTCTAGCTTTATGTATTACCAAACTTCCTTTGAGCACCATAGCACCCACATACACACACAAAAAAAAAAAAGGAGGGGAGGGGATGTTCCAGGTAAGGGGAGCAGCAGTATAAACAAAAGTACAGAGGCATGAAACCATCTTAATCATTTGGGGATGTTTGAGCAAATTTTCATCATAATACCTGTAGCACTTTCATGTGCTTACTTTTATGACTGTCTCTCCCACTAGATAACTCCTAGAGGTAGGGAGTCTGACTTATGTATTTCTATATCCTCAGATCCCAGCAAAAGCTTCACTGCCCAGGCTGCACCTTGCCCTCTCTATCCCTTTACCATGGCAAGCCCAGTTGCAGCTGTGGCCACTAGCAGGGTTGACTCTGGTCATGGTACAGTCCCCAGGGCTGCTTGCAGCTCTCGCCAGGCAGGTGTCATGCCCCACTGAGCAGAAACTCCGGGTATGGCTCTTCACTGAGGAGCTGGCCCACTATGGAGAAAAGGAAAATAGCCCATCTAACATGACCGTGAAGGGAATGGTGTTTTATGTCACCCCCAGAAAGGAATTTTATGGAGGAAAAGGCCCCCTATAGTGCCTTGACCAGGAAAGTCCACCAGAGGGATAACCAAGATGTCCCTGGGTCCTACAGACCTCACCCATGACACCCTGGGTCTCATGGCCAAGGGGATGAAATCCCTGGATGATATCTTCACCAAAGTGTGCAAAGCCAAGTATCCCATGGTCAGCTACACAGCCTGGAGAATTCTTAATGGGGACAGCATCCCAACCTGGACTTCACACCTGAAAACCAACCCCATTTTGACAGAAAGAATGTGTTCTGATGTTTCATCTCCAAGAGCAGCTGCTTTGGTGGATCAGAGCTAAATACCCAGATGCTAAATTTTCTACAAAATAGGCTGCCTAAAGCCTCTGAATCATCAGGATCTGAGTAAAACAAATGTTTAACCTGGTTGAGGGGACATATTTTTAAGAACTAGATGTATGCAAGTAAAAGCTTGACACCTAATAAGGAGGCTATAGGATTCTTGCCTGAAGAGGTGATCCAGCAAGATGACCTCAAAATTCTAAGTACCCTGAATGTAAGTACCTGAGGGACTAAGCCCTGTGTAAACCTAAGTAACAGCCTGCAAAAGAAAAATGTTACATAGGCCCCTTGAGGATTAACAACAATTGAATAACTGAATTTCTTTTTCCAGTTTCTTTATTTCTAGGCCTGTGCCCAGTTCTTACTAACTGAAGGCAAATTCTTCAGCCTCTCTGAATGCCAGCATCCTTTCTCTGTGGAGGTAGAAAGTGATGCTGTAGAATCCAAAAAGGCCCAGATGGTTTACCCATTGGTTTACCTTTGATCAGGTCTGACCCAGCTGCTTTTGAGTCCCGCCTGGAGAAACGCAGTGAATTTCTGAAGCAACCAGTGGGGCATTCCAGGCAAGGTGATTTTATCAAATGTGTGGAACAGAAGGTAAGACCTGCCCCTGTTTCTGGTGTTTGCTTACTAGCACTCCTTCAACCTCCTTATCCTTACCCTTATCCTTAATGTGGGTTTATTGATGGGTCAGCTGGATTAACTGAACATAATCTCTCCCAACTCCATTTCCATCCATAAATGTTTATCCTGCTCTTTCTGAGCAAGGTACTGTGGTCATGGTGGAGATGTAGAAGTATGAGAGGGATACTTCCTGCTTCCAAGAGGAGCAGTCTAGTGGCCAAGATAAGGCACACATGGTAGTGGGCTAGAGGTATCAGAAAATTTCCCACAGGAGGTGGAACCTGACCTAGGCTAGGAACGTTGTGGGAGATTTAAATTAAGGAGAGAGGAGGGAGTGGGACTTTAATGTAGAGCAGGGGTGACCAAATTTTTTCAGTAAAGGACTAGATGGTAAATATTTTAGGCATTGTGGGCCATATGGTCTTCTTTATGACTACTCTTCTCTGCCATTATAGTGCAAAAGCATGCCTAGAGAGTAAGTAAATGAGTGGGTATGGTTCTGTTCCAATAAAACTTAGTTTACAAAAATATTCAGCAGACTGGGTTTCGTTTCCTGACTACCAACCACCCCTGCCAACCCACCCCCATCCATTCCCATGTTGAGGAATTAACTTAAAAAGAGGAAGAGCTTTGAAAGTAAAGGGGGTTTCAGGAGACAGTGAGGTACTGTGCCCAATTAAAATGGAAAGGGAAGTGTTAAGGCTAAAGAATAGGTTAGGCATTAAACTCTTTGGGCTTAAGGAGTAGAGGCAGGATAACTTAGCTGCTAAGAGAATGGGCTCTGGGGCCAGATGCCAAGGACTGAATCCTAGCTCTTCTGTTTACTAACTGGGTGACTCTGAGCAAGTTGTTACTTCTCCATGACTCAGTTTGCTTATCTGTAAAACAGGAATAATAACAGTACCTACTTCACAGAGTTGTTCTGAAGAAATAACACCATTTAGAATTCTTTAGCCCAGTCCCTGGCATAATAAGTACTTAATATTAATACTAGCCATTATTATCCTTAAATAGGAATCAAAGCTGAGGAAAAGCATGTTGAAAACTATCTGGGAAAATTATTCTAATGCAGTGTTTTTAAATTAATAAAAATGGACTGCATGTTTTAAAAGTAAGCATTATTTTATAAAAAATTTTTTTTCAGTTAATCAAATACATACATGTGTACTGAATTACAATGTAAAATATATTTCTTACTGTGAGTCATGGTGAAAAAGTTTGAAAAACACTGCATTAGAATAATCTTTTTCTCATTTTAACATCACTAAAATTGCTTATAATTGTTGTGACAGGAAAATATTGTGCTATTTAATTGGCATCATTTTCTGATGCATGAAATAATGGTGCATCTTAAGATATGATGTCTTAGATTTGATAAAATGCAATAAGCTTATACTTAGAGCTTAAATTTTTTATTCTATAAGTGAAAATGGATACAAAGAATAGATTGGAGCAACACTGTGTAAAAACCAATACATGAGGCTTCAAGATTGAAAGGTGAAAGCAACTGTGCAAGTGGAGGTTTTGTTTTTGTTATTGTTGTTCTCATGGTACACCTGAGAGTGAGTGGTCTGAAAATGAAATTCCTGTCGGGCGTGGTGGCTCACATCTACAATTCCAGCACTTCAGGAGGCCGAAGCAGGCAGATCACTTGAGGCCAGAAGTTCGAGACTAGCCTGGCCAATATAGCAAAACACCATCTCTACTAAAAATACAAAAAATTAGCCAGGCGTGGTGGCACATGCCTGTAGACCCAGCTGCTTGGGAGGCTGAGGTGAGAGAATCCCTTGAACCTGGGAGGCAGAGGTTGCAGTGAGCCAACATTGTGCCACTATACTCCAGCCTGGGCAACAGAGCAAGATCCTGTCTCAAAAAAAAGAAAGAAAGAAAATGTAATTATCTCCTTTTTAGATGGTTTACATATGAAAGAACAGCTATGCTAGGATGCTGTCAATGTATAGGAGCATGACCAAAAAGACTAAAATGTGTTCAACAGGCTTTTCTCTAATTTGTGGGTACAAGTTCTAAGAGCATCATTTATGAAAAGTGTGGATTAATTAAAGCACAGAGTGACTAAAGGCAAAGTTTTATGCAGAAAATGTTTTTCTGCTCCAGAATCCCAGGTGTAGAATGTACTTCTGAGAAGTATAGCCTTGAACTTAAAGATTGAGTGGAAGACTCAGAACAACCCATCTCTATGATCAGAAATAACTCAAAAAAGGATTTACTGGCTATGACCTTTATCAGAGATCATGGCTAAGAGACAAAATAATCACTTTCAGTTGTTGTGGGCCTTTTTTGAAGGGAGTCTAATTTGGTGGAGGAAACATTAAGATTGAACACTCAAAAAGACTCTAGTCTGCTGAAGATGCCTGCCGTCAAAGTGTTGTCAGAGATAAGCAGTATCCTTGGATAACACATCTTTCCATTTCTTACTCTTCTATGGCTTAGTGTGGAATAGGTCAGGACAGAGCACAGTAATCCCAAACAGGCCTAATTTTGGGAAGAAATCCCTCATATCCATAGTGGTAGGTGGAGAATGGACTCTTGGTACTAGTACATGATAGTTTACTGACAGAAATCTTATCTCTGCATCTCAGAATCTTAGAGGAAAGTTGTTGTCTTATAAAGAATAATTTTTATTTTTATTTATTTATTTTAAGATGGAGTCTCACTCTGTCACCCAGGCTGGAGTGCAGTTCAAGCAATTCTCCTGCCTCAGCCTCCTGAGTGAAAAAGTTTGAAAAACACTGCATTAGATTACAGGTACCCACCACTATGCCCAGCTAATTTTTTGTATTTTTAGTAGAAATGGGGTTTCATTATGTTAGCCAGGCTGGTTTCAAACTCCTGACCTTGTGATTCACCTGCCTTGGTCTCCCAAAGTGCTGGGATTACAAGCATAAGCCACCATACCTGGCCAACAGTAACTTTTAGAACAGTGTTAAATTTTTAGAACAATTATTATAAAAAGTGGAGAGAAGTGAGGTCTCACATGCAAAATTATTTAATGAGATTGAGTGCCTCACCTAGCTTGGTGACCTTTTTTCTTATGAGTAAAGTGTAGATTAATATCTTGTCTCATCATATATTTCAGACAGATGCCTTGGGGAAACAGCCTGTGAGCAGAGGATTCACTAAGGACAAGGTAGGTTTTTAATTAAATATAGGAAAAAGTTTGAAGTCATATGGGACATCTATAACAAGAGGTTGCAAATTTGAACATCAGTACTGTGGTTCAGTAATTTTGTGTAAGGTGTTTTTCCAGCTGTGGAAGTGAGAAATATTTCTATGAACTTTTGTGTCCTTGACCATGACCCCTAGCATTAGCAGTTCTATTAAAAGTAACAACCAAACTTTCTTCTCTTACTAGCTGCAAAGTGTTGGCAGGACTCATTGGTAAGGGTGAAGCGTTTGGAAAGTACATGGCGACCTAATAGATACTCCTAGGGAAAAGAACTATGAAAACCTGTCTGGGCTTGGGGGCTCACTTTCTCTGAGCATATAGGTTTTCTTATACTTGTTTTCTACTTGTTGGAAATCTGTTTCACTGTCCTGACATGTTTGCCACAGGCTTAGAGTTAAGCTGTTTTTTTTTTTTTTTTTTATTTTTAGGGAAATATTTTTCCAAGTTTTTTACATTCTCCTCA